GGGTATAGGGCATGAGAAAGGAGGCATGACAGTCAGGGGATCCTCCTTAGGAGGGGCAATAAGGAGATTTTCTTCCTTTAAAAATCTGCCAGCATCAAACACAGGAAGGGACATAGAGGGACTTTCACTACAAAAGATAACCTTTCTCTCCTCATTCTTCAATGGCGAAGCACACAGCTGAAAACTGAAAGTGCTAAAAACAAGTCATTTGAGCAAAAACAAGTATAAGAAAACTCAAGTTTGCTTTAAAAGTGACTGGAGTATCTGCAAACCAGGACCATATCTAAAGCTAATTAATGAATGGAACTGTGGCTGGTTTCTCTTCTAAGAGCACTGTAAGCTGAGGATAAATAGGAAATGAGAACTCATTTTCAAATAGAATATCTTGACTTTAAGATAGAATGTATCTTCATAAACTTTGTGTATCCAGATGTACTGACTCTTGATCAAACACACACCTTTTATTTCTTAGAATACACTGGAGAGCCTTTTACTAGAGGTATGTGTTTACCCCAGCATGGATCACCATGCTATGGTCAGGTCTACAAATACAGAGTATTTTTGCCCCTGCTGTATTTGTAAAACTCTTGATTATTTATCAAGTATTCAGGTCTGTAGCCATGTTCCAAGATAGAGAATCCAGGCCTGATGGATATTGACTTGGAAAATAAATACTCCCGCCCCCCCCCAAAGTGTATTGTGTTTCAGCTTTATTTCTCACAGTGTATTCTAGAGAAGTTGTATTTCCCCCCATGTTCATCCATCATGATACCGAAAAGAGGAAGAACTTCTGAGTCCCTGGAAAGAAGGCTTTCGATGTATCCATCCTATCTCTCTAGCTTTTCCTCCCTGGGACTAATAAGACACAGGTGTTAGGTATCTGATGGAGTCGGGGCTGGAGAAACTCAGTGGACTCAAACCCTTGACCTTGGCCTCATTAGCCACAGGATTAAACCAATTGAACTAATTGGGTGCAGACCTTTCCCACAACTGGAACCTACTGCTGGGACATGACTGTCTAGAAGTGATAAAAATCATTACGATAATAGGTACAAAGTATAAAGCAATGCCAATGGATGTCTTTATGTGCCTTTCTCAGAGTGTATTATACCAGCTTTAATGAACACAAAGTATCTCCTCTGCTCAGCCAAACCAAAGGAAAAGACCCATAAGGGTAAGCAACTGGAGCATGGGAGAAATTTTAGGAAATTATCTTTCTTAGAAAGTCCACAAGTGGAGAACATTTTGATAAATAGTGAAAGTATACTCAATTTTACTGCTTTTGAATCTCTTTTCTAATAGGTAGAACCTGATCATTTCTGAATTTAAATTCTGGAAATGAGTTATCTTTCAGTATCCAAGAATGCTCTGAAGTGGTCATGCTTTCTTAAAGCCAAGATGATGATGTACTTTTTTCCCCCGTTTTGAGCAGTATAGGACAAGGGAAGGGATTTCTGAAATTGCTTTCTTATGGTCCCACTCAGAGTTTTCCTTCTTTTTATAAAGCACATTCCTCAAGCTTGCTTCCTTCCAGGATTTTGGTTTGTAGAGAGAAGAGGGCACTGGTAGGAGCAGCTGATAACCTTGACCAGGTTTCTGGATGAAATGGAATCTCAAAGTATCTATTTCCCGTAGGTTTGAATTTCTGAGAAGAGTAAAGCATAAAACAGACTTAAGGTGAAATGATTACACAGTTGTTCTTGCAATCATTTCTAAAGCCCCAGTGCCCTAGAAGTCTGCACACGCTTCTGTGCTGGGGGCAAGGCGGATGGGCAGACTCCCGCATTGTCCATCACACTTCAGGAAAAGGTGGCCCACCTTCCAGGGCTGGCTAATAAATCAATGAACATAAATGCCACAAAGAGTGTGCTATTACAAGTATTTAAAATGATTATCAGCATGTGACCCAGGGAGGGCTGCCCCTCTGCTTGTTGCTAAAGTCTCCCTGATTCTGTAGGCAGCATCCCGCCTGCCCTTTCCACCTCAGGAGTGGAGCTTTCATGTGGTTATCTTTCCAGGCAGCCTGGGTGGCCACGAAGAGCACTTGACATCTTGATGCACTTCAGCAGTTTTACATATACACAAACTTTGTAGAAAAATAAATTTGTCATTTGTCACCACATATGCTGATCTGGGAAGTGACGTGCTTGCCGTTTGGGCTCTGAGCTGTTTGCTGGGCCTTTTCAGTTGATCTTGTAGCCTTGTTTTGTTATTTTGGATGCTAAAATAGCTTCGGAGATCTAAAGCCCACTGTGGAGGAGTCTGTGAACCTGACATATTGCATTTTCTGTGAAGTGATAAAGTACCGGAAGAAGCCAAGTGCTGAGATCACTTTCTGCTAAGGGTTGTAAAGGCAGAAGTCTGCAGCTAACCCCCATGCTCTCCAACCTGTTATTGGTCTCTGTGGGCCACTGAGGCTACTGGGAGCTGCTCCACTTTGCACTGAGGAATGTGATAAAGGGGAAAAAACATCTAGTTTAAGAAAAGTCAGAAACATGGCTACAGTTTATAAAAACAATAATATTTTCACATCCAAATGGTTTAGGTACGTGTCACGCTACACGCAAAGGGAGCAAGCAAACCTGAAGTGTTTATAATTTAGAAGAAAGTTCTAGTAAATTTTTTTCTCTGCATTTTTGTGGGTCAAAAAAAATTCTAAGATGTATATAGCACTTTCAAAGAATTATCTGAGCCACATCCTACTGTACTTAAGGCTTGCCTTTCTTAAATACCATTTAGTTTTAGAAATGGTTCACCGTAGTGATTTCTGTGTGAACTTGGATTAACTAAAAATAATCTGTCTTGTTAAATTATGTTCTTCCTTCACATTTATTCTTCTAATTAAAATGACAAATGCTCAATTTATAAATGTGTGTGTCTGTGTGTGTGTGTGTGGGGGGGTGCATGCACAAACATAATGGCCAGAGGTTGACACTGGGCATCTTCCTCATCATTGTCCTCTCAGTGAGCCACAGAGACATAGATTCTGAGTCGAGCTCCCAGGATCAGCCTGTCTCTGAGATCCCTGCCCTAGGTTAAACATGTGAATGATTATGCCTATCTTTTTAAAATTTTTTTTCCACATGGGTGTTGGGAATCTGAACTCAGGTCTTTATGATTGTGTGGCACGTACTTTAGCAATGGAGCTATCTCTCCCGCGCCCCCCGCCCCCCCCACCAGGTTATAAACTTTTGATGATGCTCATGTGGAGTTCTCTATGTTTGTTAGGGTCTGAAATGTGATGGTGACCAGGTGTCCTTGGGACACCTCCTGAGGAAGACCATCTGCAGCCACTGCCATCTTCTCTTTATACAGCTTTAGTTAAAGCAGGAGAGTTTCTCCGGGCTCAGTTTTTCTCCTCTGTCCAGGACTTCACTGGTCTATCCATTTCATGGTGTTTCTAAGGTACCAATTAGTCATTTTATGTGAAAATGCTTGGCTAGATGTTACTTTGGGGAATTCTTAGTCCCACTTTATCTAAAGAAGTATCTTAAAAGTCAGTGGGCACCCTCTTACCCCATATCTGCCATGTTTTACAAGCAATGACCTTGATATTGATTCTGGTAGGTGAAAAAAAAGATTCCAACAAGAAACATCTATTGGTGCCGGGGTATAATTCAGAGGGAGAAGAAAAAAAAAAGGTTTTACTGATAATAACCCAGCATGTATAAAGTTATACTGATAACCCAAAGTGCAAAAAGTTTACCACTTGTATTAGTATCTTAACAAGAAACGTAAGCCATGAGAATAAAGTTAGTGTACCATTTGTCAGCTGAAATTGTCATACTATTTCACAGCAATTAAAAGATAAGACTTTGGAAAAGTTAACTATGAAGTAAAATAGGAAGGAGAAACACAATTTACAAGTCTTGTACGCAAGCCTTTAAGAACAGTTATCTTAAGGATGCTTGGCAATGTTTTGTCTTATGCTCTTTTTTTCTTTTACCTGGAATATGGCCCCGACAAGTATAAAAGAATTCTTTGCAGTAGTCCTTGCAGAGGAGTGGAAGTACTAGATCTCCATCCAGGACATCTCTCTCAGGCGAGTAGAACAGGCTGTGGGAGTGTGGCGAGCAAGGAGCGCATTTGATCTCCTCCAGTAATTTGCCACATTCTGTGTTGTTGGTGGCAGAAAAGATCTGAAAGCCACAAATCAGAAAGACATCTTGTTAGTCATGAGGAAAGTGGGCTTTGTCGGTTTTCTTCCTCCCTTTTCAATCATGTGGGTAGAAAAGTCTAATTCAGAAAAAAAAGGACGATGTCACAATATAGAGTCTTTCAAAAGAACACACGCTATCTTTAGGCCAGGGTGGGAAGACAGAGGTCAGAAGGGAGCACACAGAAGCACTTCTTGCCTTTGCAAATCCAAGTGTGTGACTCTGTCCTTCTGCTGTTAAAACTGAGATGTTTATAGACTGTCGAATGTTTGATTCACTTACTCTGCCCGAGAGCAGATATTGAATCATATTTACCTTAAAAATTCTGCACTTTTATCCAACTGTGTCCAGAGTGTAATTTAAAAACATGGCTTATTTGTGTCATGCGTTAAAAAAAATCATGTAATTCCTTAAAACCCCTAACATGATTTCAAAACTGTACTTAAATAGCATTTTGGTGAATTTCTACTTGTTCTCAATCTGCAAATGGTACCACGCAAGTTTCTACACTGCCTTTCGTGTTCTATAAAAATACCCAAAACTGAACCAAATGGGCTTAAGACCCATTTTTTAATATTCATTATATCTTAGCCAGGAAAAACTTTCTAGCTAGTTCCTTAGGTGTTTTATATGCATGAATAAACACAGAGTTTAATGAAAGTGCTTTTGTATAGTGGGTAGTAAATTTTAATAAAAAAGACTACTTTTATTATTATTATTCTTACAATGGAATGTCCTTTATTTCAGTAAGATTGATTCTGGAGGACTTGATGATTCCTTGAAGTTAATTATGTGTAGGTAGAATAGATTTTAGTATCAGTATTCACTTAGAAGCCTGACTTGAGGAGCCCTTCAAAAAGTATAGGGGACAGCCTAATACCTGGGAAATAAAATTTATGCTATCTAAATCAACCACTGATTCCCCCTCCCACATACATTACAAAATGTCATAACATGTATGAATTTTATACTGTTTCCATCTAGGTGTCTGCTTAAGTATTTCTCTAGAATAATGCATTCAAATTAAAAGTTGAAACTTTAGAAAATTGTTTAGTTCTTTAAAACAAGTATTTCTTTTACAAGTTGAGCTAATTTGAGGAAATAATCTAGCTTCTGTTTTTCTGAATTATAATATCACAGGGTCATAAAAGTCGTCGATCTAAAGGACAAGATCACCTAAAAACAAATTGCACGGAATGTTCAACCGTCTAAAGAGGCTACTCTAGTTCAGAAAGAAGGGTTTGTATATTAGAACTACTTAGAGTATTCAAAAGTTATTAATCATAGTTGCATTTACATTTTAATTTTTATCAGTTTGTTTAAATGACAATTGCTTAAATGGTCCAAGTTTTGTAAAAGAAAACATACAGCAGACACTTAGGATCTGCATTCCAAGAATGTTTTCAATGTCTTTTATTGTCCAGCCTGGAGACCTCACCAGATCTATTCAATATGAATAGTGTTCAGCTTGGTTCTGTTTATTTCACATACAGCAATCCTCCAAGAACTAAACAACTGCAGGGACCTGAAGCCAACTCTTCTGCTGCCCGAAAACTGGGCTGTAATTACCTTTGCTTTTATAGAGACTATTTGTGCTTCTATTTTTTTTTTTTAATAGCTGACACAGAATGATCCCATGTTCTCTCCCAGCTGCTCTTCAGGAAGAGCTTGCTTTTAGTGCCTACAGAATTTTGTCTTTTACAATTTTTGGAATATGTCCTGTCCACAAGATCCTTCATCAAAAGTTTCACAAATAGGATTCAATAAATTATCTGAAATCAAGTAGAATATTATTCTTGTTAAGGTTTGACGCTGTTCCGACCCAGCAGGATGGTAACATTTTACTCTGTGTGAGGTCTACAATATAAACACCTATTTGAAGATAGATAGAGCCATCATTCTGGCTTTGGTTTCAATGAACCGATAGTCTTACTGAAGTCAATTAAATTGACTCAGCCCAAGCAACAACACTGGTTTAGGCAGATGAGTACTGGTGTGTGTTGGGGGGGGGGGGCAATACCCCGGTCTTTTCTTTCTTTCTCCCCTCCAACATGTCCATGTCAGGCACACAGGTTCTTAATGCCTCACATTGCCATGAATCTTAAGAAGAAATTTAAGTTAATTTCCTGTTGCAATTTTTAAAGGCCATCAAGTTGTAGTGGTCTAGCTAAATATACTTTGGAAATTGTGTAAAACTTGCAAACATGATTCTAGCCAGCCTGGGAAGTACTGAAGCTCTGGCTCACTGGTCTGTAACATTTGGCAGCTCATCCTTAAATCTTCATTCACGTGAAAGTGAAAGCTACGAAGAAAGGTAAGTGCTGGGATTCAGAAGAAAGCCACAGCCACAGCTTATCAACAGAGGGGGCGGGGACGCCCTAGATTTCTCTTTATTTATCACATAACTAAACAAAGAGGGTAAAGAGGCACCCACATGGGATCCATGAAGGGATAAAAGTAGAAAACACATGACAGTATATTAAGATGTCACCTTAACATCACTTGGTCCACAGCAAAGCTATTTCTAAAAAAATCATATGTCTACAAGACTGTTCAGCTGTAGGGCAGAACACACGCGCCTCTGGACTATAGTGCTGGATTATGTCATTAAAGAGTTCAGTTTCAATTGTAGCCTAATATGTAAATAGATCATTGTACTGAGGCAGCTGTTAAAGGGACCCCAGGATGAGTTATTTGTTTAGTTGGATGTGCTCAACAATAGCCTTTGTCCCTGAAAGAGCCAGAGCAAACAAATGATTGTAAAAGGGCACACTTGAAAACAATTACTTTTCACCCATTCCTTGACAGCTTTGGCTGTGAAACCACCAAGGCAGAGAGAGAGAGAGAGAGAGAGAGAGAGAGAGAGAGAGAGAGAGAGAGAGAGAGAGGAGAGACTGTGCCTCTGTGACTACAAGTTACATTTAAGAAATGGGGTATTTGGGTGGGTTGTAGATTCAATTTGGCTAAGAAGAATTAGATCCTTTTAGCATGCTATATTTAGGATCTGCAGCAATTTTTCTAAGACAACATAACCTACTAAATTTTGGCAACACTTATGTCTCATCATAGTTAAAAATCTCATTATATTACAATAACATTATTAAAACTTAAAAGAAACTCAAGCATAAGAACATAGTATGGAGTCTACATAATTGAACTAAATTTTAGTTCACTAAAGAAAGTTCATTAACTTAGCAACTGGCTTTAACTGCTTAGCTGAGCAAGCTTAGTCCACTGACTTTTTTCTTACTATCTGTCTTTGAAATTTCTTCCCTGATGAAAAGCTACTGTAGTACTTTTCTTGAAAAGCTGCAGAAATGCAAAAATCTTTTCTGGGACTTTTTTTTTTTGTAAACAACAACAACAACAAATGACTGTTTCAAATAGCCGCCATCTCTCTTTCATACACATTTATGAAATAATACCTAATATATGTTATAATCTAGGAAAGCTCATGAGGGAAACATAAAACAAAATATTTTATGTTTATTATAGAATAACATGTTTTTAAAACTATTCAAATTTGAGAACATCGGTCAAGAATTCATGAGCGTGGCTGTAACAAGTCTCTTGCCTTGAACACTTTGGCACTGTTTGCTTATAAACCACTTGCAAAGGAGCCTCAGAGCATGCAGCACCCAACTTGATTCACAGCATTTCCCAAAGGAATCAGAATTTGTTGAAGACTGGAAGAGCTTAGACAGGATTGTGCACAGCTAACATGGCAGACCTTTCCTAAAGAATTACTTTCTTTAAGTTTTTTTTTTTTTTCTAATGTGTCTTCTCTTGAGGATTATAAGCCCCCTAAGTCTGCCCTTCTTCCCTTCCCCACTACAGTTAGTAAGAACAAAGTTTGCATTCCACATGTTTCTGGAAGAGGTCAGTACTGCAGGGGTCTCTGGATCCTTGTTATATTCACAGCATACACTACACACAGGGGCACTTCATGGTGAGTAAATATTTCTACACCTTTCTCTGAGTTTCCCCTTGGGGATGGGGGTGGGGACTCCTGGGGAAGCCTTTAAGATGCTCTGACTGAGCTGTTTCTGTAGCTTCATTCAATTAGGAGGCTGGGGCTTAATGACATTGTTGTGAATAAAACGCTGGAATATCTGTTCCCCGCATCTCAGACTACTGCTGCATATGGTAAGAATAAAGAGTGAGCTGCAGCTGAAACCCGCAGCAAGACAGCTCTCACTCATCTGGGAATAGAACGAGTTGGACAAACGCTCCCTCAAAAGGCATGAACATTTGGACAGAGCTGGGGACTGAAAGAGAATGATGTTCTCTAGTTTCACCCATTAGTGAACCAACTAACAAATACAATGGTGGTGTTGTTATTCTTTGGCCATAAGCAACAGGACGCTGTGTGTGGGCAGCAGTTAGTGGGGAGGAGGAGAAGTCGACCCCTTTTTGTCCTATTGATTTTTTTCCTATTTGCATGACTTGAGCAAATTAAATGATGCAATATGGCTTTTTGTTACAAAACAAAGTGAGAGGTACCACCCAGACACATATGTTGATTCGCAGGAGCTGTTTACATGATAATAGGGTGAAATCTACCGTGAACTGAGCATAAAAATTAGATTCAGCCTGGGCATTTTTTTTTAATGCCTGGGCCAGCAAGAGTGGAGCACAAGTCTTCCGAGTCTCTCAGACCTTGACAACTGCAGGGCTGTAACAGAGGAATTCTTAATTAAACCTAAAATGGGCAAAGACAGGGGGAGCAGAGACACCTGATTGTCTATTCCCCGTGAAGTGATTGTTAATGACAGGATCCCACAGACGGCACACAGCACTGCATCCCCAGGAAAAAAATCTCATGCAGAATCAAGACCAACGACGACTTGCACCGGACAGACACTTCTTGGCTAAACTAATCAACGCATGGGAAGTGCATATGTCATCACTCATAAAAATGAGTTTCTAGAGAAAATCCTCCTAGACAACGCTGTCCAGGCAAAATCCTGGATTTATAACGTTACAAGACAGAGAAACCACTGAGTAGGAGGCTCCAGTCAAATCTCCAAGTTCTTAACGTACCAGGAGTTCCTTTCGCTGGTTTAACCATTGTCATGCAAGCTAGACCCCTCAGCCTGGGCTTGGGATCATAAACCAACAGTGCCTCGATAGCGATAGCCTTTAGAATCCAATCCACTCACTAGTTAGAGCACGTGGAGAAACGGAACAAATCTTTTCTACCCCAGAAAAACAAACCGGAAACCACAGCTACCCTAATTTACAGTTTCACCTCACCAAGTGCTCGGTTTGATCCAAAATATACTGTTAATCCCGATTTTTAAAAAATATTTACCCAGCCCAGGGCGCGGGTACCACAGAAACGTCTCTTTAGAGATAGGCAAAGTTGACCAGCATCCCCACAACGGACTCCAGGGGAGAGAGAGAGATCTGCACACCGCTGAGGAACACACACCCCTAACACCTATTCACCTTAGAAAAGTTATAGGAACTATCGAAATGAGTTTGGTCTCTCTAGCAGCTACCAGCATCTCAGCCAGCCACATCTACGAGTGCCTACCTTGTTCTCCAGACGCCCCAATCCTGGGCTGTCACTCTGAAGGCAGCAGGATACTCGTGGGTAGAAGCCACCACACAGGATCTCTCCTCCACTCAGCAGTTCCAGCTGGGACATCATCCGCCTGTCTCTCCTTTTCAGGCGCTTCGGGGGGTTCCCATTCAGGCACCTTCTCCTCCTCGCTCCGCTCCCTTCGCTCCTTTCCCCAAACTTGGCATCTCCTTCAAAGAAGCCCAGAGCCACGGCCAGCAGTAGCAGCTTAAACGAGAGCATCTTCAGCATCGTCTACCCGGAGCAGCAGTGGCAGGGCGCGGGAGGATGGGGGTGGGGGGTGGCCACTGCCCAGCAGGGGCACTAGGGCGCAGCTCCAGGAGAGTGCTGCGGGGCGGCGGGACGCTTCAGAGGCAGAGGGAGGTGGCAGCGGGGGAGAAAGATGCAGAGCGACGCAACTTTGCCTTAGGGCAGCCGGAGCAGCGAGATAAAGTGCAGATGACACTGTCCACAGGCTTGCCAGCGTCAGTTGGGTTAGGGGCTTTCCGCAGCGGCTGGGAAGTGGGAGGAGAAGGAGTTGGAAGAGGAGGAGGAAGGATAGGAGAAGACAGTCATGGAACTTCGCTAGTCCGCTCAATGGGAGTTGTTTAGGTGAGACAGTAGCAGGAACCGAAAGGGCGGCGGTGGCGGCGGCGGGCCGGGCGGAGGCAGGGCCGGCGCTGGGCTCCCGAGGATGCTGAGGTCTCCTCTGCCGGCGGCTGCTGCTTCTCACACAGCCTCTCATGTTTCGCTCCCTCTTTTCTTCTTCTTTTTAACTAGCGCGCGGGGAGGTGCTGCCACCGCGCGCCCCTTGACGTCACCGCTGCTCGCGCGCCCCCGCCCGGGGTGGGGGAGAGGGGAGGGGGCAGCCGGCCCGGGAGCTAGCGCTTGCCCGGACCCAGGGTGGCCTCGGGCTGCGACGGGGCGGGGACGGAGCGGGGGAGAAGGAGGGAGGACAGGGGACGGGGGAGGGGGGAGCCCTCGGAGCCAGCCTCCGGGGCTCGGAACCCAGAGCGCCACCGTGCCGGGGTGGGGGTGGCCCAGCCGCGATGCCCAGCCTGGGCCGAAAGTGCCTCGGGGACCTTGCTGCAGCTCAAGGCGACAGGGCTGAGGCTCCCAGACCCTGTGAGTAAGAAGGGACCACGCGAGGTGAGAAGGGAGGATCTTGCCCTGCCTGCGCCCATGCTGGTCTGGGCTTAGTTACCTAGTTAGTCCAGGAAGGGATGGATTCTATGGGCTGGAGCCGGCGCTGGGAGCCTGTCCGTGCCTTTCCCTCTCCCGGAGCAATGACAGACACCTCTGGTCCACACTGATCCCCGAGATTTAGAGACAAAAGGGGAACCCAAATGCTACAGGTTTTTGTGTAGGCTGGCTGAGGGGCCACCCACAGGTCCTTGCTGAAGTTTCTGGAGCTCTGTAGTGGCATCAAGACACGCGCGCATGTAGTAGGGTTGGGTATCCCAGAGCAGGCTAAACCGGAGTCCTTCTCCAGGCGATTGTGTTCCAGATTTAGGCAAGACAGCCTCGAGGGGCCACCTGTAACCCCAGACTAAGTAGCCTGGGAGACACCTGTAGCTCTGTGCGCATTTGTAAAGTACACACACACTCGTGCACAAACTTTCTGGTGTGGAAATAGAGAGGAGGAAGAATTCAGTCTCCGACATGAAGTGCAGAAGCACAAGCCCTGCTTAGCTCCATAAGCACGAATAAAATCACCTTTCCCCTAACTGGGCAAGTTCTGCCTAGAGCGTTTCTAGAAAGATGTCGACATTATCAAGAGCTATGATTTCATGTTTACTGGAGGTCTGCAAGTTGGCACTGGGACAAGCCTCCCAGGAGCTGCACGTGAAATGTGCTTTTCGTCTATTTGGGTACTAAACAGTGAAGCTGATTTCCTGGTGGATGGCTTTTGATGAGGAGATAAGGCTGTTTTTCCCATTTTGGCAATAGAGGAATGTTCACCATATTTGGACACAGATTTCACCAGCTCCTGTGAAGGTTGGTGGTGGTTGAGGCTGGTAACTGACTGCTTTGAAAGTGATATTAGTGGCTAGGTGAGCCTTGTCCGTTTCAATCTCTGGATTCTGAATTACATTTTTATGTGAGAAGTTAGAGTTTTTAAGCAACAGGAGTGACCTTTTAAAATAAACCTAAAGCCACTGAAAATTTGGCCTAGCCCTCAGCTAAAGCAAATGCCCTAGAACCAAACTTAACCCTTCTTCTAGACACCATCATGCACTACTGTGTACAGGGACACCGTCATGCACTACTGTGTACATGCTATGGTGAACACTACTCTAGCTCCCATGTGGTTTATCTAACATTCTTCCCTCTTAGAAGTCTATGACTATAGAATAAATCACACTAAGGATTTTTAAGACTTTAAAAGCTCTCACTTTAGAGATGAGTTCTATCATGATCAAGCCACTGGCATAATTCCATGTAATTCAGATCCCAGAAACCTGTCTAGAACGTGTTTAAGGCTTTATTCCTAAATTTTAATGCCTTTTCCTAAAATGAAGATCCTTCTGAAGTCACATCTCAGTCACTGAAGCTCCCACTCTTAAGTGATAAATTGATGTTGGTAGTGTTGGGGCAGGCCTTCCTGTGCTGTGTACTCACAGAGTAAGGGCACCTAAAGTAAATTAATACTGAATTTTACAAAATGATGCTTCCATTATAAGCTATTATCCTAAATGTCAAGATGCCAAACACTTATAAATGATCAAATAGAGACAAGTGTATTTCCTACCTGTCTTTTTGGCATAAAAATCTCATGTATCTCAGGCTGGCCTGATACTTACAGGATGACTTTGAACTACTGATCCTTCTGCATCCACCTCCATAGTGTTGGGATTACACACAAGGACCATGGTGCCTGCTTGAGGCAGTGCTCAGAGGACAATCCCAGGGCTTCCAGAGACTAGGACAGAACCAAACTTGACTAGTCAAAAAAACAAAACCAAACAAAAAAGCCCAATGAAATGATTCCTAACAATGTTTTGCGATACTCATAGACTGATGCCTCAGGCGTCGTCAGAGAGACCACCTCTGCACATGACGGGAGTAGATGCCGAGACCCACAGCCAATGTTAGGCTAAGAGAGAGCCCAGTTTGGAGGTCTGCATTGGGTCCCTCCCCTTGGAGTCCAGGAAACCCTGCAGAGGAGGAGGAGGAATTGTAGGAATTAACTAACAGCGCTTGTGGAGGCTCACAGACACCGGAGCAGCAGTTGCAGGGAGGCATGGGTCTGCACTAGCTCCTCTGCATGTATGTTATGGTTGTTGGCTTGGTGTTTGGGGGGACTCCTGACAGCAGGTGTGGGGGTGTCCCTGACTCTTTTGCCTGCTCTTGGGACCCTTTTCCTCCTACTGGGCTGCCTTGCCCAGCCTTGATATGAGGTTTGGTGCCTGGTCTTGTAGTATCTCGCTGTGCCCTGTTCAGTTGATGTCTTGGGAGGCCAGCTCTTTTCTGGGAGGAGATGGGGTGTGGGAGTGAATCTGAGGGAGATGAGAGGGCGGAACTGAAAGGAGCAGAGGAAGGGGAAGCTGTGATCAGGATGTATTGTATGAGGGAAAAATTAAAATAAAAAATAATCCCTGGGCTTCATACACACAAAGCACACACCCTACCCACTGAGCTAAATCCCTTCCCTTATTCTGTGTTGACACATGCAACTGGACCTGGTCCGTGCATGATTTACCATGAAAGACAAGTAATCATGTCCCTTGTAGGACACTTGAGCTTATTCCTTGGGTCATTGATATAATTATTTTCTTTTTTAGGGGGAGGGTGTTTTTATTTTTGTTTGTTTCATTTTGTTGTTGTTTTTCGAGACAGGGTTTCTCTGTGTAACAGCCCTGGCTGTCCTGGAACTCACTTTGTAGACCAGACTAGCCACAAACTCACAGAGCTCTGCCTGCCTCTGCCTCCCGAGTGCTGGGACTAAAGGTGTGCGCCACCACTGCCTGGCAAGACACAATTTCTAAGTAGTACCTGACTCTTGTTTCACAGGTGGACTAACCTCTGATTTTCCCCCAGAGGCCAATTAAAAACTACCCACAGCAGGTCAGTCATCTAATGTAGTTGGTTGTTTTTAACTCTTTGTTTTTTGGGGGGGCCCAACACCCAGCTCCCAAATAAATCACAGGAAGGCTTATTCTTTCTTATGAATGCCAGGCCTTAGCTTAGCTTTTTTCTAGCCAGCTTTTCTTAACTTAAATTATCCTGACTACTTTTTGCCTTTGGGCTTTTATCTTTCTCTACTTCTGTGTACCTTTCTTTACTTTTTAAAAAAAAACTTACATACCAACCACAGTTTCCCTTCCCTCCTCTCCTGTTCCCTCCCTCAACCTCCTTTCTACCCACCCCCATCCATTCCTCAAAAAGGGTAAGGCCTCCCATGGGAGTCAACAAAGCATGACATATCAAGTTGAGGCAGGACCAAGCTCCTCCCCCCTGCATCAAGGCTGAGGGAGGCATCTCACCATAGAGAATAGGTTCCAAAAAGCCAGCTCATGCTCTAGGGACAGATCCTGGTCCCACTTCTAGGGGCCCCTCAAACAGATCAAGCTACACAACTGTCATCCATATGCAGAGGGCCTATATAATCCCTCCCTTCCTCTCTTCATGTGGACTCTCGGAGCTCCACAAGCTGGCTGTGTAGCTGGGTGGCTGGCCCCGGAAGTTCTCCTCTCCTCCTTTTCTCATTCCTTGAGCACCCTTTCCCCAGATTTCTCCTTCTATTTATTCTCTCTGCCTGCCAGCCCTGCCTATCCTTCCTCCTGACTTGCTATTGGCCATTCAGCTCTTTATTAGGCCATCAGGTGTTTTAGACAGGCAAAGTAACACAGCTTCAAAGAGTTAAACAAATGCAACATAAAAGAATGCAATACATTTTTGCATTATTAAACAAACATTCCACAGCATAAATAAATGTAACATATCTTAAAATAATATTCTATAAAAATCTAATTTTGTAGGAATCAAGGATCAACACTAGGGTATTTCCTAAGCTTAAAGCCTCCTTGGAAGTTGCAACAGGGGATCAGAGCCATCTGCACACCTGCACAGAGTCCGAAGGATCATTTTTGGCCATTATACCTTGTTTCAGAAGTGTGCACATACTGTATTTATTTTCATCTGTGTATTGTTGGTGACCATCAGAAACTTTATCATGTGTGAATGAGCTACAAGCACCAGATCCAGGCATTAGACATTTCTTTTTGATCACCCCAGCTGAGTCTAATTTGGCCTTCCGTATGTT